GGGAATGGTTTGGGGCTTGGTCTGTGCTGCTCCCCACACCCCCGAAGAAAGTCCCCAGGAGGGTGCGTCTGCGCGAATCCACTGGCAGACGCTATGGTCGCTGTAAGAAGGCGAGTTAATGTTTACAAAGAGCTGAGCACAGCGCGAGCTCGTAGTAAGTGCTGTACGACTGCTTGTTAAATAAACATAGATGGGAAAATCTACAGTGTGCCAGAGACCAGGAGGAGAGTGCAGAAATGAGGCAGGAAAAAGGAGGATGACAGGACAGAGGGAGTCTAAGCGGCCGGAGCGGCTGGCAGAGCAGAGGTGAGCGACACCACCTGAGCTGGACAAGAAGGGCTTCCGGGAGGAGGTGGCCGGCCAGGCTCTAACCTGCCCCACGCGTGCTCGTCGAGTCCTCAGGAACTCGGCGGGCAGGCCCTGGGTCCACGAAACACATTAAGAACCTGAAACCCTCCTATGAAAACACAACATCCATGGATTCTGTTGGAGGGAAAAAAATCCCCCCAGACAGAACTTCATGGCTTGGCTGTGTTTCAGGACGTCGGGCTGGCAGTTTCTGTGCCCGCCGAGTCTCGCTGTCACGCTGCAGCTGGCCGGCATCTGCTTGGGCGCTGACCTCATGCGAGGGAAGGAAATGACAGGGGCCCCGTTTCGCGCCCACCGTATCTCGGTTATAAATTCCCCAGGCGCATCTTCCCCAGGGATAATCACAGCCCAAGTCGCTGCGAGCAGGTTATTTCGTACGCCCGTGTGGCCTCGGGTTCTGTCCCACGCGGCTGCCCACCGCGCCAGAGCTGCCGTTGGCACGCACAGTGGCCCTGAGTCACGGCTGCTCACTTTTTCCATCCTCCTTTTCCTCTCACGGTGCTGTGGTGAGTCACCAGCACTTATTAGGCCCCTCTGAATACAGAGATTTGTACCGGGCAGCAAGCTGCTCTGCGCAGGGACAGCCAGACCGAGAGCCGGAGCTGGCTCAGTGCAGCCTGGGCTGTGCTGGTGTCGCCACCCCCACCAAAGGGTGACAGCCTGGGGCACCCGTGTATTTTTATTTTGTAAAGGGAAACCGAATCTCTCTCCTCCTACCTGTCTAGGTCCGGGTGTGTACGTGTGCAAGTGTGTATTGTAAGTGTGTACTGAATTCATGGAGCGAGCTCCGGTTTGGGGAGGTCAGGAGACCTAGATTCAAGGCCAAGTTTGCCCTTTTGCCTGACCCTAAGCCAAGGACATCACCTCTCCAGGTGTGCTCACCTGTGAAACGTGGGGTGATAAAACTGGTCTCCAGGTCTTCTGAAGAGTGCAGGTGCAGGCTGCTGGCGAGCCTGAGAGCAGTGCTTCTCAACGGGGGGTGATTTTGCCCCCCAGAGGACAGTTGACAATGTCCGGAGACATTTTTGGTTGTCACACTGGGGATGGGGGAGAGGGTGCTGCTGGCATCCTGCAGGTAGAGGTCACCAGGAAGGCTATGAAACATCCTTCAGGATGTCCCCAGCCACAAAGAGTGACACAGCCCCGAATGTCCATGGTGTCGAGTTTGAGAACCCACCTTAGAACTCCATATAAGAGACCATCACTGGAACACTCCCTGGACCAGACTCACCGCGGCCAGGTGCTGGCCCCTCAGTCCTCACCCCCGCCTGGAAGGGAGGATTTTCATCATCTCATTTTACGAAAGGGGAAACTGAGGCACACTGAGGCCGTGCAATTGGAGCCAGGTTCACGGTCTCGATCACCAGGCCCTGCATCCCTATAATTCGGAGCGGCCTGTTCTGTCTCGCTTGGTAAAGTTTGGTTTGTTCAACTTCCCACTAAATTGCAGACAGCCAGGCTAGTGCTCAGACATGTGCCCTGGGGCAGGGCAGGGGGGAAGATGTTCTTCCCTGTGGGCGATGCCAAGGGGAGGAAGATAAAATGCTGTTGGAAAGGGCTCCCCTGCCCAGCCTCTCACGAGGAAGTCCCTCTGTGGCAGCCTTGCAGTCTGCACTCTTTGTCCCTTGACACATGTACCCCCAGTGACTGTTAAAATGTCAGCAAAGAAACGGGTGTCTGTCAGTGCCATCAAACAGCACTAAAGGGCAGCACCGTGGCAAAACAGGTGAGCTGTGAAGTCCGGAACTTCCCATAATAAAATGCACCATTTAGACTAATTAGACTGGTTTTTTACTAATTCATGAGCAGGGAATTAATTCTGCTGAAAAAATTGGTCCCTTTGGATTTTTAAGGATGAAAATCACTGAGTCAAAAAGCAGAAGCTGAAAAGTTAATGCAACAGTTTACGGAGAGGGCGCATTTATAAGCAACTAGTGACCCAGAGTGGGGAGAGAGAACCCCAACAGAATGACCCGTAGGAGAGCAACGGGGCCAGGGTGAACGTCTGCAGAACAAAAGAGACCCCATAAACCGGTCCTGATTCAGGAGATATCTCCACTTAGGGATGTTCTCTTCTCCCTCTCTATTTTGGGGTTTATTGTTTTTACTTTTTGTTGATCCCTGAAATCCTAAGATCTAAAAACCCCCAGCCCAGCCCACAAGTGGTCGGGAAGCAGAACTGACCCTCTGTGGCTCTGCCCTCGCTCAAGGCCCTGGCTGTGCACAAGGCCACCCTGCATTTCCTCTGCTCTCCCTCAAGTGTTTCTCCACCGCCCATGAGAAAGACTTGGGCGAGGGACAGGCAAGAAGAAACAGAATACAGGGACAGGAGCTACAAAAAGGCAGCCGACTGTACAGGTAGCAAAGAAAGGAGCGTTTTACAGGCCAGCAGACATCTGGAACCTGGAGAAGGCACAAATCACAGAAACAAGAGGTTAGATGCCACTTCTTGAGTAAAGCCACAGGGGGGCGCTGTCCGGGGCGAAGGCGGGGTGCCTAAGAGATTGTCCCCTGACTGGGCAGCCCCCAGAGGGGTTTCAGCACGAAGCCATAAGGGCCACCCCAGCCCCAGGGTCCTCTCAGGTCAGAAATGTCACTTAAATGTTTGACACCAATGTATCCAGAATTGACTAATGATATTTTTACTCTTTTTTCACAAATAACACCTTGTAGAGTTCTGGAAGAATCTTTGCCACTTGAACATAAATTTAGAAAGATAGTACATGAGGGTTACACGATGTCGGTTGTTTACCAACAAGGATAAGAGGATGAGGTTACATAATCTTCTCTGTGTGTGTGGAATTCTTCCCAGCCCTGGACACTTGGCCTTTTAGGGGTAGAGGCCATGGAGGACTGTTTGTCTCCCGCGAGGATTTGGCCAGCCTGGGTCGCTTCTCCAAGCCGGCTCCTGCTGCCCGAGGTGCAGACAAAGGGTCCTTTAGGGCCACTCAGCTCCCCTGGGCACCGCCGGCCTGAGGACTGAGCAGCCTTCCTGCACCTTTCCAAGTTCAAGGAATTCACCAACTTGTGTCTAAATGGGGGAGTCTCACTGAGGCCCAGGAAAGAGGAGATCGTGACAGTGACAAGATGACAACGGTAGTGACAGCAGTCACCGTTGCTGAGCCTGGCAGAGGCTCTGAGGCTAAGGAGGCTGGCACAAGGTCGCAGGGCTAGAGTGCCAGAGCTGGAACTTGATCCCCGCCATCTCCCCCACCCCATCCCCTCTGACTCTCAGAACCATGGCGTGCTGATGACATCATGACCTTGAAAGGCAGCTTTATAATACTTTAGAATCACCTTGTAGGCCCTGAATGTTCCTAAGTGGCCTCGACAAGCAATTATTGAGCATCAGCTGTGTGAACCTGGTAGACAACCCACTGTGAAATGGAGTCAAGGAAGGGCTGCACTAGAGGTTCAGGCAGGTGCTTTGGGCAGGGAGGCAGAGTCCAGGACGGCTTCCTGCAGGAGGTGGTATCGGATGCACACCATGAAGAACTAACAGGGTGTGGAGGCAGAGGAAGACTTCGTTCCCACTGGGCGGGGTTGCCAGCATGGCCCCTGGGGGCTAAACCTGAGTGTGACTGTCCCTTGGGGGCCTGCCTCCTTCTCCTCCTGCGGGGATGGAGGCTTAAAAACCTACTGTGTGTGTTGGGGGGGGTGCTGGGTCCTAGGATGAGCGCTCAAAGCCCTGGCCCCTCCCTCAGGGAGGCAGCAGAGTGTCCTGCCAGCAGTGGGGGCAACTCCGCGGAGCCCCACCGTGCCTCAGAGGGCCAGGGACTTTCCCTGGCCTTCCTAAGCCTAGGTCTGCTCTGCAGAATGACAACCGGCATCCTGCCCTCGCGGGTGTGGGTTAGATGAGATGATACACGCTTACGCCGTGTGTAGGGGACTCTGCATGTGCCTGGTCACAGAAGGCTGAAAGCTCCACAAACGGGTGCCAGGGTAACGTCAGTGGGCTCCAGAGAGAGGATCCCGCGGGGACACGACTGCAAGAGCAAGGGCAGCTGGAGGGGCGGGTCTGCAGGAACCCGAGGATCCCGCGAGGAGGCGAGGACTGAGTGGCAGCAGTTTGCCCGTGTGGACGTGAAAGGGGCAGGGAGAACATTCCGGACTTCACTCTCTGAAGCTTCTCTCCCTGCTGAGGTGACCCACAGCACAAGTGAGCGTCACTTGGGGACTTTTATTTAAGGCAGAAGCCATCGGAAGGTCCCCCCCGGTATGAAAACCCTTTCCACCCTCAATAAATCCAAGGGGCACTTTCCCTGGTTAAAAATAAAACTTGGAGGGGCCCCCGCAAGAACGGGATCCTTTCTTCCTGTGTTTAAATTTCTACGGAAAATCTGACCCGCGTGGCCGCCGCCCCTGCCATGCGCGGGCAGACGGCGCTTATATCTTTAAGGAGGAGAAAGTCGGGCGGTGTCCAAGCTCCCGGCCGGGCGCGGGCGGCCCGCGGGACTAGCGGCCGAGTGATCGCCCCGGGAAGGTGGGCGCGTCCCGCTCCCCGCTCCGCGCGGGCCGGGCGGGCCGAGGGCGGCGGGCGGAGCGGGAGGCGGCCACGTCCCCGGCCGGGGCGCGGGAGGCCCGGCCCCCTGCGAGCCGCCGCGAGCGAACGCTGCCGTCTCCGCTTGCAGAGGCCGCCGGCGCCGTGGATGGGGAGGGCGCGCCGCCCGGCGGTCCCCGCGCACAGGCGGCCACGATGAGGGTCAACGAGAAGTACTCGACGCTCCCGGCCGAGGACCGCAGCGTCCACATCGTCAACATCTGCGCCATCGAGGACATCGGCTACCTGCCGTCCGAGGGCACGGTGAGTGCGGGCGGCCGCCACCCGGGCGGGAGGGCCGCACACCTGAGCCGCGCTTGGAGGGCGGGAGCTGGGCGGCGGCGGGGCCTCCCGGGACCGGCCGGCAGAGTGTCCGAGGCGGCCACCCGCACACGTGTGCCCCGGGAAGGGCGCGCCGGCCCGGGCCAACTGCATGCGCTCAGCCGGCGCTCTGCGCGTCCGGGGCACGGCGCCCACCCGATCGCAGCGCCTGGGCCCAGCATGGCATGCCCTCCCAGGCTCTGTCAGCGACCCGGCTTGCAGCCGCCTGGCCCTGGGTCCAGAGCCCGAGAGCGAGCACATGGCTGGGGCCCCCGGTAGGACCTACTCTTCCTGGCCCGCCGCCAGGGGTGCCCGTCTGGGCAGCTGGAGTGGGGCGGGGGTCTTGGGCTGAGGCCAAGTTGGTCGCCACCTCAGGAGAGTGCTAGCCATTAGGCCACTGGGCACCATCCTCTGGGACTCCAGCGCGCCCCCCTATTTTTGAGGGGGGGCACCTGCCAGGGGCGGGAGTTGTGCCCAGGGCACTGGGCCCAGCCCAGAACTCTCAATGCCTGGGGCAGCTGGCGGGCGCCGGTCAGTCGAGATTGTTTTCTGCGCCAGCCCCTGCTTCCCCTGGGCACCCAGGCCTGGGTAGGGTGGTGGCTGGCGGTGGGATGCTGGTAGGGAGCCAGTCACGTGGTTGGGGACCCCTATCTCGAGGTCCCCTACCCCCACCACTCTCCCTGGAGCCAGACCCAGGGGTCATAGAGATCCCTGGGTTGCGAGGGCAGAATTCATCCATGAGGGGTTTGGATTAAAGGACAAAATTTGTCTGGAGAGGACAAAGCTGTGGAGCCAGCTTGCTCTTGGCAGGAGGGGGGCTCTGTGGCAGCACCTTCTGGGACCTAAGAACAGAATCCCCTCCCTTCCTCCTTCCCCTACAGGCCCGGCCTGCCCCTCCCGAGGCGTCAGGCCCAGCGGGGCTGCTTCAACCCTGTTGGGGTTGCCTTGGCCTGTCCCTCTCGTCTTGGGGCTGGAGGGCCCTCGGGGGGCTACACCTAGAGAGATGCAGGGCGGAGCAGGGGCAAGGCTCCTGCTTTGGGTCCCAGAGTTCCAGGGAAGCCAAAGACTCAGGCCTTCACTGCTCAGGTCGCAGAGGGGGCCTCCAGGGGAGTGGGGGGCTCCTGGGGAACGGAGCTTGCACAGAGCTACTGGGGCCATTGGGACGTGTGGATGGAGAGGGGGTCTGCCTGTGACAGATGGCATTGGCCTCAGAAGCTCAGGGGTCGTCATTTGAACAAAGCCATGGGCCAGGCCATGCTGGGCACCCACAGACAGTGAGACAGGGAAGGCTCTGCCCATCTGGAGCTCACTTAAGGAGTGGGGATGGACATTACCCATTACCCACGACAGCGACAGGGACACTCCATAGCACCGGGCTCAGTTAAGTCTCACAACACGTGGGGCAGGTACTGTTATTACAGGTGAGGAAACTGAGGCCCAGAGGGACAGGTGAGACCTGCTCCAAGTCACCCACCAGCTAACAGGACAGCTAGGAAGGGCTGAGACACAGATCTGGTGGCCACAGAAAGCCTGAAGGGTAGACATTCTGGGGAAGGAGGTAGCTATACCCATAAGGTGGGGACGGGACCTTTCAAAGAAATCACATAGAGGCCCAAAGGAGGGAACGTGGGACACAGTTAGGAGGCACAAGATAATGGAGGGGGCCAAGGTTATGGAGAAATGGAGGTTGAGCAGATGAGACTTCAGTGAACTGGATGTACAATAAGAAATAGAGCCTTTAATGAATAGCCCCTGGGCTCTGGAGTTCAGTTCAGGGACCCGTTCCTTATCCAGACTGAGAAATCATCAGTCTCTGGCAAATCCAGGCGAGGCCCACAAAGTCTGCAAAGAGGGGGCTTGGCGCAGAAGAGGCACACAGCACCTACTCTGGGCGTGGAGGACTGGGACCGCGGGGAGAAGCATGCTGCTGGTGACATGGCCACAGACAGGCTGGAAGCAGCAGCGCTGGAGCCAGGGCCTGTTGGTGCAGGGCAGGCAGCATGGCAGGGCGAGCCTCCCAGGGCATCCCCGGCATGGCTCGAGCCAGCAATTATTGCTCACTCATTGCCCTGAGTCACCCAGCAAAGGCCAGAGGGCGTGGGCTGCACTTCCGAGAGTTCCTGTCCTGTTCTCATATGTGCACCACATACGTGCAAAATCAGCCACAGAATAAGCCCATCCCGGCCAGGCTGCAGTTCCCAGCCTGTGTCCCTCCGCCTCTCCTCTCTCTGCCATCCCCAGATCTAAAGGTAAAAATCACTTCATTGTTTCTATACAATGAATATAAGAAGAAATGACTCGAAAGCCAGAGGCCAGGCTGAATGTGACTTATTTCGTTAAGTTTTCTTTGTGTTAATCTTTGAGTGTTTCTTTCCTCCTTCAAACTGGTGGTTGTCGGTGGCCTGGGATCTGTGCGTCCCGAACAAGCCCAGACATCCCGCAGATACCTGATTCTCCAGTATCTGTGCAGCTGCTGAGATAAGAGCCTTTCCCTGCTTGTCCGCCTTTGGGGATGATCTGTTCATAGATTTTGGAGTGTGCTCAGTAACCATGAATTGATATGTGTAACCTAATTTAAAAATTTCTTGAAATAATAGTACAGTTTAAACCTGATGTCCCCCCTCTCATCTGTAATTCAAAGAGTCTCAAAACCAAAAGAAATTTTGCAGGTCTCTGATTTCATTTCCATCATTTTCTGAGAAAGTAAATGTAGTAGATTCCCTTGAGAGAGCACGATATTTCATACAGATGTGAGAATTCAGTTCCTGGAGCTCCAGCTGCAGATAACTGCTGCATAAATGAACGCATGGCGTCCCAGGACAGCGTTTGGACAAGGCGTGGACACAGAGCTCCTGCCCCACCTTTTCCTGAGTTTGGGAAGCAGGCTTGTCCAGGCGGGTGTGGACCAGATGAAGGCTGCCCTCACTGTCTGTGGTGCCTGGGACGGGGCTGCTTGCTATGAAGGGACCTTTGTCCCTGACATTTTCCCACGTGACCTCAGGAAGGCATTTCTCTTCCACCATTTTCCTCTCTTCCTTGGGGAGGCTCTTTCCGGGAGCCCTGCCCCGCCCCGCCCTCACATAGCCAGGGAGCAACAGTCAAAATACTTCCAGCCCTTTCATCGCACACTTTATCCCCACGAGAATCCTGTGGCCTAAATCAAGCTGTCTTTGTCTACACCTCAGAGATGAGAAACTGGAGGGCCAGAGTTAGGGGTGTCGTGTTTAAGTTGCTGGTCTGGCTGAGTCTCAGCTTCTGTGTCCTGGGAGCTGATGCCACTACCTGTGACAGTGTGCAAGACCAAGCCTTTGCCGTTCATTCGTGCAGGAAACCCCTTATCCTCAACAAAGGGACACCAAGGTGTCACCTCTCCTTTCTTAAGAATATGGAAAAGAGAACATTCCCAAGCTCTCCTGAGCCTTTGCATTGGGAAGTTATGCATAAAGTCTAACACAACCCACGTCTCTCTCAGGGCAATTTGAATCTTGGCCTTTTTGCCCCATTCTACACAAGAAAAGGACCCACTCCACTACTCCACGGAAGGGCTCCATAGAGTCACGTGGCTTCCACGGGGACCACTATGGTCCTTGCTGTGCGTCCACCTGCCCAACTATTCCCAAGCCTAGCTTGAAATTGCTCTCCAGACCTTGGGGCCTGTGTAGGGTATAGTTGGGAAAGAGCCCACACTTCCTGTTGAAAGGTTGCTACCCGCTCACACTTACCCACGTAGGCTCATCCCCACTTTGTAAAACTAAGATCTGAACTGCCGAAGCAGCTTACCCAGGTCACGTGACAAAGCAGCAGGGGAGCCAGGCCCTGGAGCTGTCACACCTGCGCTCCATGCTGCCTGCTGCTGGGCCCAGCATCACACCCAGCTCCTGCTGTGACTTTTTAAAGTCTGGATTTGGCACTGCCACCGTCTTTCGCTTGTGGTCTACTCTGACCATGAGATTATAGACTGTCCTCCCGTTTCTTTGTTTGTGTGTGTGTCTCCATTCTCGTTTAGAGCAAACTCTTGTTGAGGGTTCACTATAGATATGCCAGGTCCTGTTGAAAACTCTTTACAACTGTGGTCCCCAACCTCGGGCCGCAGCCCGGTGCTGGTCCCTGGCCTGTTAGGAACCAAAAACGTCCATCACCGCCTGAGCTCCGCCCCTGCCCCCCCATTGTGGAGAAATTGTCTTGCATGAAACTGGTCCCTGCCCTGGTGCCAAAAAGGTCAGGGACCATTGCTTTACAACATATATTGACATGTTTCATTCCTCCAACAAGCCCATGAGGGAAGTTGTAGTATGTGAGGGAGGTCTCAGGGGATACTGAGGGGCAAAGATGTTCAGCTCTGTGCCAGGGGTCACTCAGCCGGTGAGTGACAGCTAGTGACCAGGGAGGATGCCCACTCTGGATCAGCCTGTGTGCTGCCTCTCCCTGCTCCGTGTTCGGGAAGGTAGGCGACATTTCAGCTTTCCCGAAGATCATCAGGCCCTGAGGGTAGGTGGTTCCTCCGTCAGGCCCCAGTGGCAGTTGTTCTTGTTGAACCTGGTGACCTTTCTTGTCTCACCTTGGTAGAGGATTGTTGGCCGCGCCCTGGGGTAATCTCCCTGCTCTCTGGCTTGAAGGGACCACTCTGAATGTCCTTCTCTTTCCCTAAGAGTTTCTTTGCCCACCTTGTTCAGTATCACCCACATCCTTGCCCACCAGGAGTGTTTGTGGGGCCCCCACTAGGTGCTGAGTCCCACCTACAGGATGGAGGTGTGTTAGGGACAGTCCCAGGCTAGGCCTCAGGGGTCCTGCCACCCGGTTTCGGGACCACTGCGAGTTAAGAACTCTTAGGTGGGTGGTTCAGAGACGGTCCCAGCTCGTGGAGACCTGCATGGGCCAGAGCGGTTGGCCACCTTCAGATCCCAGCGCACAAGGGATTCGCCCCACGCCCTGGAAGCCAGGTCCAATCGCGAGGGCTGAGAAGGACAGGGAACGCACACAGGCAGGTGCCCAGCACGTGCAAGGCAGGGACGGCGATGTCCCGTCAGAGAGGATGGCCTGGCTCCCACGGAGGCCCCGGGTGAGGACAGAGGAAGCTGGAGAAGGTGGGACAGCAGGGATACATGGGACTGTCCAAGTCCCTAGGAGCTGGCCCCCCTGGCCCTGGCTCAGCCTTGTGGGAGCACGGTTGCCCGCTTGGAGGACAGGGGCGAGCCCTGGGTGGAGACACTGAGCGCCGGTGTGCCAGGATGCCGGCAGGGGTGCCCTCTGCCCCCTTGAGACTGCCTGTCCGCCTTGGTCTGACCATCTCCTGCCTTTTGTCAGCTCATTCCCTGAGCATGGGCCTGTGTCACCCAAGGGCAGCCTTTGGGTGCAGCTCTTTTGCCCACTCTGTTGTGAGGAGAGAAAAGCACCTCTAGCCACCAGCTCCCCATGACCCTGCACTCCTCGGACCTTCCTGGGATGCTGAGGAGAGTGAGCGCCTGCCGTTGGGTGGAGGTCAGGGTGGTGGGATGGCCCCCAGGCACCCGGCCCCGGAGTTAGATGGAGAGTCCGTCCTCGCACGGTCTGGACCAGCTTATGCTCAGCAGAGACGACGATCACCAGCTCGATTAATCCTCCCAGCCGCCGGCGCGGCAGCTGGTGTCACCCTCCCTGTGGGGCAGGGGCAGACCCTGAGGCTCAGAGGGTCGATGACCTTCCCCAGGCCTCAGAGCTGGAGAGAGGCCAAGCCAGACACAGACCCAGGTCTGGCCAACTGCAGGGCCTGCCGCAAAGCTCCTGCCCTGCTCTGTGCCAGCCCCACCTGCTGCGCCAGCTGTCCCATTGCCCGAACTGCCCCACTGGCCTGCGCTAACCTGCTGCCCTACCAGCCCCATTTAACCACCACCCCAGCTGGCCCCGGGAGCAGGAACAGCGCTGAGGCTGCTAAAGGGCTGCACCCTTCCCGTGTCCTACAGCACCACAGGCAGAGCCCTGGCCGGGGGCAGCCTGCAGGAATTGGGCACCCAGGGCTGCAAATCGGGCAGCTCACCCAAGTGAGCCTCAGTTCCCCCCACTGGCAAATTGAGAACAGCTTTTTTGTGCTTTTCCCGCTAAAGGAATGCAGGAGCAGCGTTGGCTGCAGACATGAGATGGGGAAGGCCGTGGGGTCTCCCATGGCCCATCTGCTGCTAGGCTGCGTGTGCAACTGTGCTGCCCCCAGGAGCCAGTGCTCCCCCCACCC